TAATTTTTTTAATAAAAACTTATGTATGATTTTTGCTCGGGAAATATACAAATAAAAACATATTTTTAAATATCCCGAACCATTTTACATGAGAACAATTTGTTTCTATAATTTCATTATGTGAACCCAATAATATTTCATTTCATTTCAATCTTTTCTCCAGCTTATATATTTCACTATTTCAGTCAACCCTGGTGATTTTTATTACAATATTGAAACATACATAAATATATGTTTTCTTTACCTATAATTTTAAACCAATAAACGTAAAAACGTTAAATACACTGCAGTAGTATTTGAAACCGTATTTGAACTTTTGTATAAACAAAATGATGTAAAGCAAATTTAATTAATTTCAAATAAATATATAATATTTTCGTTGCCCGCCTAAAAGATTTTATGGGTCAGATGTTTTATATTTAAAACTGATCTTCAATGTTAACATATTACCTATTATTAAAGAAAATCTAATTATGTTAAATCTCAAGTAGTTAAACTTCCCCAAAAGAAAATCTTCATTAAATATGAGTCTTGAATAAATAGTATTCCTTTGACCGCCGATGTTTTTAATTTATTAATAATTAATTAATTTGTAAATATTTAATGCATATTTTCATTAAAATTGATATTTAATTCTTTACCTTGTTTAAAAAATTATATGAAGACGAATAAGCCCTTATCGTTTGTAGTTAAATAACTATCATTGAGTAATGTATACAGCCTCAGCTAAAAATCTACCGAGATATTATTATAGATAATTACTCAACATAGGTAGGTAGATATCAATTCATAAATCGTATGAATATTAATGGCAATCACAGTTATTAATTATAATTTGTTTGAACATAATATATTGTAGTATCGGTTTCTGTTGAAGAATAATATGCTACATTGTGAATTTAATAAATGTACATAATGCAATAATAGTTGAGTATAATAGTATACTGCAGGTCAACGTTTGCTATCTATAATCGCTGTCTGGTGTTTAATTATATATTTTGAATATTGAATTTTTCGTTTCGACTCCCGGGTATGACTTTAAATGCTTATTAATCTATTATTATTTTTTATTATTATTATTATTATTGCACGAGTAGCGGTAGGAATTATTTATTTGGAATAAAAATGTTTTTTGTTATCGGTGAACGGTTAAAATTTGGAATAAAAGTAATTAAAAATTTACCCCTTAACACCAAGATAACTCGTCGGGCTTGGTGTTCTGTAGTTGCCCTATTCGTTTTGTCCTCCAGTTGACCCTGTTTCAGTTCAAAGTCTACGAACACACACTGTTGTTTACTCGTATATAATAAAATAATATTTTTTTAATAAAACGGTTAGTTGAACCGTTATTAAAAATAAGAGATTAAAACTCAAAATATATCAAACTAGATATGTAGTGGACTAATATCCTTGTAAATTTACATTTAAAACTAATTTATATTTGTAAATTCAAAATGTTATTATTACAATGACTAACTATTCGTGATTATTGTTGATATACCATATGTATAGATATTTACTTATAAATGCGCGAGTGAGCATAACTTATAGAAATAATTGGTTATTACAAGGTAATATTATATAACTTACGGTTAATGGCGGAGGAACTGGCGCTATTATAATAGCCAAACTAGAACGTTAGATCGACACTTGCACTAAAAGCAAGACGTACGTTTAGGTGTACAGGATTGGCTATAACCATAATATATAATATTGTTTAGGGTTCGTTTACGAATAATATCAACACCAAGTCTACTGGCATTTGCTATAATTATAAAGCTAACGTTGTTGTTCCTGCAAAATTAGTGAATTTTTTTTTTTTTTTCCAATAACAATATTTTTAATTACTGTTCCGGCTACAACTGTAAATATAATTGGCGTTTACAACGCGGGAGTCTAGTAGTTACCCCCTTAAAACATTTTCCTATACATTAGGTGTAGAAAAATCAGTCAAACTGAATCAAAAACTATTTTTTCAAAACTAATTATTTATATATATATGTCCACCAGTTCACGCTGCCTTAACTTTAGCTATAGATCTTTCAATTATTCCGTGTTCTACAGAAAGAGCTTTTTGTATTCTACGTAAAATAACATCTTGGACAAGAAATAATATTGGTGGTTCACCTAGAAATGGTTTAAAATATAGCATGTTAGTATGTTAAATGTCATAAGTCTGAACTAATAGCAGCAATTATAAACGAGTTTAGACTTCTGTCTCATTAAATAGGACTGTTAGTCACTAAAGAGTTTTTTTTTTTTTTTTTAATTTAAATTTTCTATGCGTTAAAAAAAAATTAATTTTGTTAAATTTGTATTGAATACTATATAATGTCATAATATTTTAAGTTTTAATTTGTTAACTATAAATATTTTAACAAGATTATTATTTTGATTTATAATTACAATTTAATGCTTATATTAATGGGACTAAAGCATAGTCAAATAATAAACGAGCCAAAAAAAAACTTAAAATTATTTCAGTTGTTTTTCTGTTAATTTATTATTATAAATACCTATACATTTATCTAAAAAAATTATTACATTAAAAGTATATATATATATATTATGCGCAAAAAAACTCGATCGAACTCCCACTCCCCTAAAAACATTCCTGTGGACGCTCTTAGGTATTTGGTGAGCTATTTATAAATGTATTTATCCGATTCGAGAATTCAACGATAATAACATGTAAATCAAATCTAACTCTGAACATATTAATTACTGAATTGATTGTTGACGAGGTTGTAAAAAAATACCTATGTAACTAATTCAATTACGTTTATGGATTATACATTCGTGTATAAATTAATTTTTATTGTCGTAAAATAAATTACGACATTAATATGCTGTAAATTAAATCGAAATGGACGTTTAAATTTAAATTGTATTTCAAAAGTAAAACGACCAAAAATGACAATCTTGATATACTATATTTCGTACAACATCTACATCGCTTTCATTGGCGGGATCATAGGGATTATCGTACCCACTATTAAATATTAATTTATTATAAATTATTATATTATTACGCATAATATAACCGTGGTTATAAATATCGTATTATAGTGTGATATATGAACATACTTCGTATTCAAATAATTATGAACATTTTGTCATATCATATTAATATCATAGCGGCGATCATGACCAAGCACATACTTTTTATTCTTTAACGTGTATCCGGCCGAAACTGAGGTCATGTCAATCAACACCGTGTCCTTTATTCGAATTATTTAAGAACAGCAAATGGCCAACTTATAAAGTCGTCTCGGTATTTTATTCTATTCGAGATTTTAATTCACATATTATTATATTGGCGTAAGTATATAAGCTAACGTAACGAAGACGTTAGTTTCAGACGGTCGTTTATATAATATTATGTGCATAAATATTCACTACAGCTGTGTGGATAATGGGAAAGAGTTTCGTAACTTGGGACCGTCTCCTTTTGTATAGATAAAAAAAATATATATATATATATTGTCCAAAATTCTGTTAGGATAGGTTTTTTATTTTCAAGAAAGTCGAGGAAAGTTCTTGTTCCGTTTTTATTTAGATGACGTTTAAAAATGATTAGTTTCAAATGTATTTTGTATTTTTATTTATCCGAATCTAATTTAAAACCACTATATATAACCATCTAATGTATATGTGTACTGTACTCAATGCGTACACCATTGGCTATTGATCGAAAACAACATGCTGTGATATTTTATATCCACGAGAAGAATCGTTAAACACTTCAGAAACACACCGTTAGTATTAAAAGCCACCACTTCGTCGATTTTTGACTAATATAAACGTTTAAATAATATAAATAATAATAATAATAATTATTATTATTATTATTATTTTTAATATTATTATTGGTTCGAAAATATGTATCTTTTATTATGTGCTTAGATTTGTATTCAACGTTTATGTTTGACTAGAACGCTGATAAATTTCTTAAATAATGCCAGTTATTTTTAAATTTTTAAATTTTTATTGCATGTCTACAAAATATGTTTTGCTGATTACTCAAAACTAAAATATCGAATTGCAAAATGGTAGGCAGTAAGACTCCTGCAAATACATGATACACGATTGAAACGAAACCGTCTTGCATAATATTTTACAATAGTTAGATATAGTTTACTTATAAACATTTCAATTTTTTCCTTTATCTAAGGTGAGATTTTTTTGTTAAATTTAATTTAATTTTTATGTTTAATTAGTTTGAAAATTACAAACATCGTGTACCTACATCGTACCTACACCAAGGTGACGTTTTTTTTATTATTTTAATTATTATTTAAAAGATACGTAATGTTAGCAGGTATAGCTACAATTTATTGTCTAGTTAACAATGGTGATGCAACTAGGTTTTTTCGTTGAGGGTTGTGCTGGTATTAGAGGAAAAGAGCATTTCGTAGAAATACATTTTCGCGGAGGAAGACATTTTGGATGATGTGTGGTGACTCCTTAGGCTTTCGCGTCTAATGTGTAATACTGCACGTGTACCTATGTTGTAACCTGTTGTATAAACGTTATTTAATCGCAGAATTCGTCATACATGATACCAAGCTTCAATAAACATAATAACCTTAGACATTTTGCTGTACTTACGTGTAATAGATGCTAATAGTATACTTAGAGATATCGCCGTTTTAACTAAAACGTATTCGGTAGAAAAAAAAACAATAAATAATCAAATCAATTATGTCTTGTTTATATTTGAAGACTTTAGTTGAAATCGCTTGTCTATAATCTTTTTTTTTGATTATTTGATTTAAGATAAAAAAAAAAAAAAAATGAATTGAGTTTGCGATTGGTTTATATTTAACAAATACCACACAGAACCTATAACGATTGGAACACTCCCAGAAACTTATTCAACGTTAAAATGTTCGTGTGATGTTATTCGGATGTATAATGTTAATCAACAATATTTTTTTGTATACATTTATATGACAGTGAGTGTGTTAAATTAATATTTTTATTTTTATTTTTTTCAGAAACAACGCTTAAAAAGCTCGCCGTGTTCCAGTATTGTTTCCGGAAGCAGGATGTTTCGGCACGGCAAAACAATCGGTCCGAGCAGGCAATTAAGTTTTCTAGGGGGAAAAATCAATTTTGATTCCTATAATTTAATTATTTTTATTTAACTCAAATATATATATATATATATATATTTATATACAAAGGAATATTCAATGTCTCAATGAATAATCAAGCCGATATCGTCATTATTGGCATCGATCCCAATAAGCGCGTCCCCTCAGCCTCGAGGCTGTTAACGTGCAATAAAATAGCACACGTTTTTCACAATTACAAAATGTGATAATGACCGAGCAAGGATAGCAACGGACGTCGTTCCGACGGGCCGGGACGTGTTTAGAACGACGACGATCGAACCTAAATGAGAGCGCATTTATTTTATAATAATAATAATATACTCCGTACTCGGCGCGACGTTCCCCTTTTCTGTGCTCGCCGTCGAAAAACGCTCCGTATATAATCCCACGTTATGTTTCTCCCTGGTCTCATTAGTCGATATCGGTTTTAGTTTTATTTTATTTTTTTTTTATCTTTTATCGTCCCGATAATAAAAACCTAAGGCATTTTGGTTTTTTTTTTTTCCCCCCGTTTTTAAATCGTAAGTTAACGACGTAATATTACACCGTGCGCCGCCTATTATAAACGTGTCGATTAACATTATTGTACGCCAACTCCTTACCCGTTTCACTCGTACCCACACAATGCTATAATAATAATATAGATAGGGGTCTGGTGCGTCTACCCCCCCCCCTCAAGCTATGTTTTCGCTAAGCCCTTAAAACTCGTACGATTACAGACACACGCTTATATTATGAGGTACCTACTGCATGATATTATTAATGTAACTGCAGTGTCCATATCTATATTTCGACCGTAGTCCCAGTGATTATTATGGGGTTTACCCCCCTCCTTCATATACTCATCACTTCTGTATCCTGTATATATATATAAGTACCCGTGAACGTAGTGTAGAAAAATATCATATTTAAATCGTTTGGTCAAAGCTCAGAAGTGTATATTTTTTTTTTATTATTATTATTTTTTTTTTTATTGTTAATATTATTTGCTAATTACTATTATTGCAATAATCATCTCTCTTATTTTTTGTTCTTGTTATTTACCTACATTCGGAACATTATTGCAATAATTAAACGGGTTTTTTTTTTTTTTTTTATTATCATTTTTATTATTCGAATATGTTTAAGTTTTTTAAGGGTCAAGTGTAATGATAATTAAAACCGACAAAATGTATATAATATTATCATAAGTGTATTTTGTAAGAAATTGTTCACGCTTGTCGAATACTTTGGCGTAAAACGATAAATCGTTCTTCACTGCAAATTGAACATAATTTTATTCCATTTCGTTTTTAAAAATAAAAGCTAACAAACAAAATGTATAGACATTAGTATATAAAAAAAAAAAAATATTCATACAATTATGTTTATTTCACAACATCTACTTGTTTTTTATTATTTTACTTATGTAAATATTTTGTTTGTTAATTTTTACTTGTGTATAACGTATTTTTTTCAAATATTATGACCTGCATTAACAACTGTTACGAATAAATCTATATTTTTTAAAATAAAATCGTGTTTTTTACTATCATCACTCTGCTTTAACAAATAGTGATTAAATAGCATATTTAACCCATCGTTTTAGTTTACGTCACATATAGTTATGTACGTCTCAGCAGTGCTTACATATTAAATTATTATATTAACAATTTATGTAACACAAATTCGTAATAATTGGTGTTTTTGTGTAATTATGTTATAATTAACACTGCCGCCGCTGCCGACGGGAAGAATATTATTGCGACGACAACTCGCCACCTCAGTAAGAAGTTGGGAGGAGGTAAGTACTATATTTAGAAAGTTAAATGTCCAATATTATATTCCGTGTCACATGGCGTGTTATTTCTGTTCAAAAGCATAGCATTTGGACTGCGCAATAAACTGTCGGTCGTCTGATGGGACGCAAAACTCTCGGAAGTCGTCCGGCTACGTTCAAGCGTAAAAGTTGTGATTTTTTTTAAATTTCTACACAACTATTGTTATTTATTAATACTTTGGGCACAAAAATATTGTTATATTGTACGATAATCCAACAAGTTTCATTGAAGGTACTACCCACCGCTACGGCTGTCTCCGAATTGTTACACCTACTTATATATTATTATTATATTAGTAACTGTGCTGCAAAGACGCACGCTTTGCCGAAGTATAATTGAACGGTGGTCCAGTGGTGTCCAAAATATTTTCCAACAGTACTTACACGTGTTTTTGCGTGTGTTTAATAATACCATGTCATGATATGTCGTGTGTCGTGGGTCATCAGTGGCGGTCGATCGTCGGTGAATAATTTACAAACCGGTGCTCGTCTTGGCACGCCAATAGAGGCACTTCCAAGACTTCGGCTTTACGACCTCGATCACTTGTACATAATATTATGATGTAGCACACACACACACAGCGATTTGCAATCACGGTATGGTTTCTTCTAACCACGCGACCGGTGTATGCTATACCATCGTGGAAAACGCGATAATAATATGATATAGCTACCGTGTACAGCGGTCTAAGGAGGGTGAAGTCAGTCAGAGGACGGTGCAGTGGTTGTTCATAACCGTCTAACAAATCGGTGGCGAATCGCGTAAAAAGGGCAATTATATAATATTTTAATCATAATCAATTAGATTTCGATATTGCATAAAACAGCTCGAAGTATATTTCATTAAAATAATAGCAAAGTTAATTTTTTTTTTTTATAAATATTCACTGAGATAAAGTTCAATATTTATTTAATAATACTAATTTTAAACTTTCAACATTCACTTTTGTGAAGCGCAAACCTATGTGGAGGACACGTTGTATGGGGTGCTTCATCAACCCTTCGACAGTGTGTTGGGGTTCATTAAACCCCACGTGATAAGATTTTGCGTGATATTATGCTAGTGATTGAACTTGATCAATTTTTTACCTTCACGAAATTCTTCTTTGTATAGTACAAATGTACAATTGTAAATGTTTTATAGTTTAAAGTGTAAAATTTATTTTTTTGAAATTTGCTGAAAATTGTTATTTATATATAATATTATTTCTTTATTAGCAAGTCGTTATTCAATTCAATTTTATTAAAATTTTAACTATACCATTGATGTTATGTTATTTTAAATTGTGGGGTGTAATAAACCCCAACACACTAAAGATGCAAAAAAAAACATCTATACATTAACGAAAGGTTAAAATAATTTAACTTAGGTACAGATAATTTATTTTATGATACTTGAAAAATGTATAATAATAATGATAAACTTAATATACATATTATATATAATATACTTAGTTTTTTCCAATAAAAAAAAAAAATACGAACAATTTTAAAATATGACACTTGTTATTATTGTCATTATAGTAGTTTATAGGCATGGTACGTAATTAACAAAAGTATTAGGTAAAAAAAGCTTATGAATAATTTTTGATTCAATAAACACGACCATTCAACCACACACGCATACATTATCTATTGTATACAAAGCAATTGAACGTACCAGTCGTATATATTGTAATAAGATATTGTGTTGGCATTGCTGTGGACAGATTATACAGAATTGTGGTCGTGGCTCATCATAAATACCTAAATGAGTATTTGGATTAAAAAGTCGAAAGCAGAAGTGTTGCCAAAACGTTTAACGCGGTACACCCAACTACAAAACACATGATCGCACTGCAGAGTCAGTCCATAAATTCTAAAATAAGACAATGGAGCAAAACCCCACAAATCCATCTTTATTATACAACCCGTTCTCTCTTTTGTACTAGATTATATGCACAAAAATAATATTTTTGGACTCAATTTTCTTTTTATTAACACATAAGTTAAGCACTACAAATAAAAATAGATAATATTTATTATATACCTATTTTAGTAGAATATAGTCGTCAAACAAACAGCATATTAAAAAGTAATCCTAAAAATAATAAATAAAATGTATTAGCTCTCGTAGTAAATATGTCATTTATTTGATATTACTCGTGTATCTAATATTCTAAAGTATAATAACTTTTGGAGTATTTCGATACTCAAAAATCGAAATTCGGACTAGTTATTTATTTTACGAGTATTAAAACTATTTAAACTTCAGATGAGCGGATTAGTAGACCAACATTTTGAAGAAAATTCGCGTACCTGGTTCACTCCCACTCATCAAAACTTCAAAAACTTATAACACATACGCTGCTCGTTCGGATTTCGATTTTTATATATCTAAATACTCCGGAAAATATTATGTTTTTTATATATAAAATTAAAAATCATTCAAAATTGTTATAATATTTCGACTGAATATTATGTTAGAAAAGTATTTTCAAAACTGTTAATAATAAGTGTTCAAAGATAAAAAAAGTGACCCTGTATATATATATGAATTTGTTCTAACTGACAGATAATCAATGTAGAGCCTGAGCTATAACAAGTTGACTTTTAATTTTGACAGTTCCTTTGTCTCATAATGTAAGTACGAAGTACCCACTGAGAAACAATTTTGCGAAATTCCCATTTAAAAAGAGGACTCTGACTGCCTATTGGAATTTATTGGCTCACAGAAAACGATTATTATATATTATTTATCTAGAGTTGCTATTAAATAAAAAAATAAAAAAAAATACTGTAATTTAATTTTAAATTGCACTTAAGTCAATTTTTCATAAAAACCCGTTGTATACGTCTAGATTACTTTTTTTTTTATTATTATTTTAAGCTTTATCGAACGAAATTCGTGGTTATGATGAATAAGACACATATTGATTTACAGTAGTGTTCGACAACGGTTTGTTGATTATTGCTGACAAAAGATACACAAAGTCTAAATACAACTCTCATCTAAATGGTTATAAATCTAAATGTATAGATAAATTACACAGATAGCTATGATATTATGTAATAGATAAACAGATCATTAATTATTTATTAATTATTATTATTTTCTATTGAGGTTAAAGACTTCAACATCTGAAGTTTGCCCGCAACTTTACATATTAGTCTGATTGCTATAAGAAGGATATATTGTGTTGAGCAGTTAAGGGAATTAAAAAAATGCTCGTAGTATCGTTGATGGATTGCCAAAAATTTGTCTACAGCTGATGTATTTTGGATATTCTAATGTGATATTTTTGATGCCGATTGCCGCAGTGTTCGCTGGGCAAAAGGTCTTCTTTGGTAATTAATGAGGTATCGGTGTGAACACTCCCGTTCGATGCGTGTCAAAGGGCGTAGGATGTTTTCACGGAATAATTGGTATTTTAATTCTATTAATTATTATACATAGTGAAACTGTGTAAATTTCCACACCACCTTAGATATGATATCGAACAACAATCTCCAGAGCAATTATATTTCCGGATATGTTATTGATAAAATCATGAGGTATTACACACGACGGCGCGTTTTTTTTTCTGTGGTTTCCCAACGTAGGCCTAATCCACATTTATTAAGTAAACACAATAATTAAAAATATATACATACTAAACAATAGCCATGAGAAAAATACAACTAAACTTAAAGCTATAACATAGTAATATAACAATTTAACTATTGGGTTTAACTTTTCTTAGCTTCTATTCCACGAAACCGACCATTACTCTGTATTGAATTTCGGTGTATCTGTACTTGTCGTTTACTCTTGTCCTGATTGAATTTGAAGGATGTGAATAATGAGTAAAAAATTATGGTGTCTGCTAAAATTTCAAAAAAATATGTTTAAAATTACAAAACATATTCTTACTAACCTTTAATTTTTTCAATATTCTACGCACCGTGTACACGAATATTCGAAACTATACTGCAAGCGAGTTGAAACATTTTCATGTCTTTCGGTACGCTTGCTTGAACAATCCAAATTTTAATAGACATTAAAATAAAAGACACTTATTGAACTAGCTATTAAACAATCTAAAAGAACTAAACAAACGAAAAGAAAACGAGACTTTTAAAAATAAAAAAAAA